CCACGCACACACACGATGTAGATATATATATATATATATATACGTATGTATATATATATATATATATATACACACACACATTGGCCCCTACCAAACCCAGTAACATGAAGCCCAAGAACACCACGGGGCGGGGGGCGGTTGAGTCTCGACAGGTCTGCGATAGCTACAAGCCCTCTGTCCTTTACAATCAAGCTAAGCATCGGTGATCCTCATTCGCATCCTTCAAACTGAGAGACAGTATAGCCCCTATGATAAGGCCACCACCCACGAAGACCGTTTCCGAAAGCAGTTTCAGGTAAACCCTTCACTACAACCCCAAAGCTGGCCCAGAAAGGCCGGTTCACCAACCCCCCGCTCGCGCGCGCTTTTCTCGTCGTCAGCATCTCCCCCGACTGACTAGGCCTGGCTTCGGGCTTGCGAATTTCCTCAGCAAGCAGTCGCTATCTTGGGTTTAGGACCGCCGACAAGCTCAACCTAGATGGACCTAGATGACTGGCGCTCTAGACGAGAAAATGCCAGAAACCTCCGAACCCGAAACTAAAGAGCCTTAGGCACTGAAAGTCTTGGGTTCGCGGTGCATCCCCCAGCGCTGCAAGCCCTAAAACAACGAAGAGCTAGCGTCACAGGCTCCCTAGACCCTTAACCCCACACGTTATAGGATTCAGCGGTTAGTGGTGTTGCATGTTTTTGGTTGGGGACTGAAGCTGTATTTTTGTGGAGGGGTTCTACTGAGATATCTGTCGAAGGCGAATTCCAGCAATGCTATCCTGATCCATGAAGTATTGCAAGCTCGAGAACGCAGACTGTCACTCTGGCATATTGGGTGCAAAGCTTGCGTGAGCGTTCTTGGTTTTAGCATTAGTCAGGCTTTAGTACTGTCTACACGATGTGATGAATCGCTGCCTCTCCCCCTGCTCACCGTGCCGTCGCCCCAGCGGATTCTTGCTCTAATTAGCTCGGCTCCGCACTATGCGGTCGTGCCTTCCTTGAATTCTCCACTCACTTCGTTTGGTGCTGGCGCCACGAGGTCCTGTCTGAAAAGCCAGGTGTCTCGGAAATATATGCAGCACTTGAAAAGCTCGGCTCAAGAAGGCTAGGCTCTTATGTAGGTTGAGGCACCCGCAAACGATGACGCCTCATGAAACCAAGCACCAGAAGAGTGCAGACGAGGTAGAGCAACTTCCACATGGGAACCCGGTCGCTTTCTGAACCTGGCCCTTGCCCTACCCCTCCTTAGTAGCTCCTTTTTTGTGGTTGGTGTTTAGGATCCTATAAGGTAATCCCAAAAAGGAACTACGAAGGAGCCTATGGGTAATGCATGAAACCAGACTTTGATAGTTGGGCCTGGGACATCCGCTGCACGACCTCCGCGGCATGTTCCGCTCGAGACTTCTTGCCGGTCACCTGGCGGAGCCGACTTTACACTGAGCCCAACCTCGTAGGGGAACTTCTTGGGCACAGATCAACAGAAATGTCATTTATACGGCCAGAGCCTAAAACTCGAAGTCCCAACACGGGCTAGTTTTCAACAAGCCTTGATGTGCAGCTAGACAGGAATCACATGAGCTACAACTGGATTTCCTTCGCTCTCGAACCCGCGATTTCGAGAGGATCGGGGCTGAACGACAGGTGAATGCAGGCTTAGACCTTCTAAGCTCCATGATCTCCGAAGCCATTTTGGCCTGAGTGTAGGTTTCAATGTTGTCAAAGTGGTGCAAGCCTCGACTTTGACCAGCACCGCGTGTTCCCCCGACGTGGCGGCAAAGGGCAAGCCGGTGCTGTTCACAGCAGCGAGCCGGTCCCTGCAAGGGCAACGTGCATAGGATTTAGGCTTGACTAACACAACCTCCATGCCGAAAGCCGCCAACTGTGCTGCACGTCCGCACACGCCAACCTGCAGATATCTACAATCCCACACTAACCTGCATGGTTTATATAGTGACAAGAGTGCTTAGGATCACCAAGAAGCAGAGTTTCTTTCAACTCGATCTCCGAAAACCCTCGAACGCCGCCTCTCAGAAATCGGGAGGATCGTCAGCTGTGTGCACTGAGTGAAGTTCACGCTCATGGTGCGGACGCGGCCAGAGCCATGGATTGCATCTAAGTTGCGGAGTGGTCAGAAATGTTGCGGACTTGGGGTTGAGGCTTTGGGTAGGGCCTTCGAGTGGTGGGGATATACGGGTCAGCCGAGCAGGAGATGTCCTGTAATTCGTGAACCTGGCAGTAACCAACGCTTCGGCCAGATGAAGTGCTGAGGGCTAAAGGTTGCAGGAGGCTTATAACGACTGGCAGAAGAAGCATGAATCCCAGAGCTTCTTCGTCAAGACGAGCCATCGAATCTTCCATGCAACTACCACGATGCCCAGAGGGGAGCCGAGGCCCGAAGCCCAGAAGTGATTCAGGCATTTTTGAGGCCGCTTTTAGGGTTTATAGGGTTTGGGGTCTCTGCCATTGAGTCTTTCGAACAAAGGACCTCCCCACAAAGCCCACAAACCTCAAGCTAGGCCTATATCGGCACACACAGGTGGTTTGGGATCTGGGTTGAGCTCGGGTTGCAGGCCGCCCTTCATGATGACCGAGCCACTGGCGATTTCTGAATTCGCAAACTTGATCTTCCACGACCACATGACCTTCTCTCACCCGGGCCGTAGGCACAGCACGACCATCACTAAAACGCAAACAAGACGTCTAAACAGTTCGGCTTTGTAGGATGTCTGGCTGAAGCCTTCCAGGTGTGGAGGCCTTCGCTGCCTTTGCTCCTTCTATGCGGGATTGGTACAAACGAACCGATGGCTGAAATCGAAAACCTTTGAGGCTCAAGTTTGGCCTGTGGGTTGTGCAGTTACGCGCAAGCTTTCTCATGCTGCTACATTGCTGCTACATGCATGTGCGGTTCACTAAGGCCCTAAGCCCCTAAGTACTGCAGTCGTAGGGTCACATGCGCCACTGTTTGACTCTTGGTGCGAAGCCTACAAAGTCCTGACCATACAATGAACCAATCCTGAACACGAAGTTTGATTCAGTCCATAAGCCCGACAAAGACTTCCGACCCTAAGCCGAAAGCACCAGACCGCAGAACCACTGAATGAAGGCTCAAGCTTCCGAAACCCCGAACTCAAACCTCGGATTGAGAGTGTGGGTTGTGGGTGCAGGGCCCCTAAACCGAGCGCTTCGTCTGCAAGCAAGACAAAGGCGAGGCGCTCCCTCCCCAAACGAGAGCGTGACCTTCGTCACCTGGATCAGCGGGGCTTCAAGGGTCGAGTGAAGTCCTAAGCCGTCAACTCTTGCTTGACCCCATCATGGCGCAAAAGCCGATATATAACACCGCAGGGTGTAGAGGATCAAAAGGTTTGGGCGAGCACAGTAGTCACAGTAGGGAGCCATGCTTCAGGCGTTGCAGGTATGTTGCTACAAGCCAAGCTGCAATCATCAACTCTAGAACGCTCTGCCTGTACGATGTCCGTGCTTTCGTTTCTCACCACGAATAGGAGTCAGCCTTCACGGAGTCGGAGGTCAAGCCTATAACTTTTGGGTGACGTTGTCAAGGTCCAGGCTTTGAGGCTTATGGCTATTCTCAGGGTTCTCACACCTGAGCCACACCATAAGCTCTGAACCCTAATCCCTATAGTCCCAACGCCAACATCTTGCTGTAAACCCGAATTCAAATTTTGACTGTAATTCCTACCTACCTACCTCCCTCCCTACAGTGCCTACATGCATACACGCATACATGCATCCATGCACGCATGCGTGCATACATGCATACATACATACACATGCACACACACACACTCACACACACACAACCCAAATCCCTAAATCTAAGGGGGTCTGGGTACATGTGTGGAGCCCTGAACTCATCCAACCCAGCCAACATCAGGCAGGGCTCGTTGATCGGCTGCAAGAGCCTCAGCTTCGCGGCCAATCGGGCAATTTCGGGTTGGGGGTGCAGGGTTGCTGGATATCCAGCAAGCCCGAGCAAATCCAGTAAGACACATGTACATGCTTTAATTGAATTACACCCTCAAAGTAGGGAAGATATCCACCTAACCCACCAACACAACGAGGGTTGAGCAATCATGATTTCAGCCAATACTGAAGTGCGTGCCAAGGAGCCCTCCAGACTCACATTACGAGATCTCTCAAAATAGATCATATTTAAATTTCATATTCAGGAGTTCAGATATGTGGCATCCTAACACGGATCCTTACAATCCGTGCAAAAGCAAAAGGACCGCTACTTACTTTAACTTTCCACAACAAGACAAAGAAGCATCCTAAGCCCCAAAACCCTTAGACACCTAGACCCCTAAACTCAAGCTCCAGTAGCTGTACGGACAGCGTTCGGTTGGCCGCCGACATGGCATATGGGAGCTTCCAGGAGCCACGCCCCACGGCCAAATGCCTCTCTTGGGCTTCAGGGTTGAAGGGTTTACTGCTTCGGGCTTGTTGGAGGCGTTTAAGGCTTGCAAGTCTAAGATTGTGAAAGAGCAGGGAGCGCGAGAGCAAGGGAGAGAGGAAGAGAGAGAGATAGGGAGAGCGAGAGAGAGAGCAGGGCTTCAGATCGGCACTGGCAGATGCAAAGCTGCACTTGTGCCAGCAAGGGTTGCAAAGTTTGTGGTGATGCATTCAGGGGTTCAGGGCTACAGCTGCTGCTGTCTCATTCCCGAACCGGATCGGCTTTCGAGCTCAAGGGCTCGAGGCCACAACCCCTGAGTCCTCAAACCAACCGCAAGAGTTAGATACACGGAAACTCTTGAAACCGAAACCCGGTAGACCCCAGCTGGGTAAACCCTCCGCCCTGGACACCCAAAGCTCTTCAAAGCTCTTCAGCACCCCATTAAGCTTATTCGGCTGGGGTTTATGGTTTTGGTGATCAGGGACGGTCAGAGTGCAAACTCTACAGAAACATTCGCTAACCTGTGGCCAACATTGGCGAAACAAAAAAAAGCAGTTGTGGCTAGTAGTTGCCTGAAGAGGACATTACCATCAACAAAGCCCTGGCTCCGTAGGACAGAAGCTTGCTGGAGCCACGTGTTGGGGCTTCGGGCTTAAAGCCAGAACCCTTCTCAAGCAAACTGCTGAGCATGACCTTGACAAGGGCCCTTGGAACCGGTGCCCTGTACAAGCTACAATCTAGAACCACGACCCAAATGTACGTCGGGGAACTCTGTTCCCTCTGGCATTCCCACGGAAGTCACCTGCAGGTGGCTTTTGGGGGCCAGTCTAAAGCCGCGTGTGGCGCTCGTAGCGTCGTAGCGTGCGGGGGCTTCATGCATTTCGTTTTTCCCGTCTTTGGGTTCAGGGCTGGGTTCAACTGTTCACGCTTCACATGTACGCCGGGCTTAGGCATTCCTCCCTCAAACCAACAGGCGGCAGAGGCAAGGGGAGGATGTGACTGCAGCTGAACCACGGCAAAGCCCCTGCGGTCATTGACAAGTTCGAGGGATCGCTGAATTCGTTCATCTAGATCAGTACAATGGAGCCTTGCAGCCCGTACAACCCCTCCTATAAGAACCAAAACCCACTGAAACCCCTAAACCTACAAGCCCTTCACTCTGAAAGCTATGACCCGTTGCCCTTAAACTACACTGTAGACATCCTGACAGAGTCACTTTGGAGTTGCACGCCTTCGGTCTCAAGGGGGGCAAGGTTTGCCTTTCAAAACGACTCGTTCTTCTCATCAGTTTTGACTTGTGGGGTTCAGAAACTTTGTTTCAAGCAATACTGGGGGTAAATAAGTGGAGGGCTCTTGCTCAGTCACTCTAAGGCTTAGGGAGTTTGAGGCCTCGATGGGATAGATCTGCTCCACCGGGCTCAGACCCGATCTCCGGGACGTCAGCTGCTGGGGCGGGGCCCGGCCAAGGAGGAAGTACATCCTCAGCTCGCTCCGGAGGATTCGAGGGGGGAGGACTCTTGAAAAAAACAGGGTTCGGGGTTTGAGGTTTGAGTGTTTTGGTGCCAAACTTATTTGCTTGCGAAATTTGAACTGCAGAGTTTAGGTGTCCACTTAAGTTGTGTCTCAGGCTAAGGGGATCGGTAGCAAAGTTGGGGCTTGGAGTTTGGAGATCAGAAAGTCGGCGAACCCGAATCCTCCAGACCTGTCGGGAATTCACGGCCTTGGGACACTTGGGATTTTAATGGGGCTTAACGGGCTGGTGAGTTCTGGTGCTATTTCGCCAAGCAGCATGACTGCCTCGCAATCCTCGCGCTTCAGGTAAGGCCTGCAGAGCAAAGCTGCGCAAGGGCATGCCGGCATGCCTGGTAAGCTGGGGGATTTGGAGGCACAGCTGTAGCCCAAGTCCTACAAACATACTACGAAAGCGGTATGCTGCTCAGTTAGGCCATAGTTTGCGCCATCAATCCCTGTTCTGTTTCAATTCATTGCCAGCTCTGCGCCCGAGGAGTACCAACACAATTAATGCAATCACGGACGTTTGAAAGGAGCAATTGTGCGCCTCGGGTTTCGGCTCAAGATTCCGAGTCTGGGGTTTCAGGGGTTCTTTATTCTGAGTCGCCTGTCTTACAGTCTAGGGATATAGGGGTTCAGAACTTCATTTAGGTCCGATTTAGTGGGCTGAACCTACGATCCACCGATCGCTAACCCGAGCCTCGCGCGGTCTGCGAAGAACTCTTTGGTCATGCTCGCAAAGCGGATGTGCCTTGCTCTGTGCCCGACTGAAGCTTGGGATGCAAGGTTCCGGTTTCAGGTTTTTCTAGCTTCAACTTCGGGTTGATCCAGGACGTACGGTTTTTCGGGGTTCTGAGGTATGCCGGGTTTACGACTTTGGAGTCCTAAGGGTTGTAAGGTAGGAAGGGTCGGTTTACAAGGCAAACTACCCAAGAAAAGGATGGTAGACACTCTCACTCAGACATGCTGTCCCAGGCTTGCACTGTAATTATACTACCTACGGAAGAATTCGCCCGAAGGCGATCGACACGCCACCAGGCCTGTCTTGGAGCAGGCAGCTGGTCGACTAGACTGCTGGCTTTTGAGTGCATGCGCCGTGCACGCTGCTAAGCATTTCGACTCAATCGCCTCGCCCTCACATTCCGGCCTTCAAACTCCTCAACTTCTACTACTCATAATGGAAAGCTTTCGGGTTCCGGGCTTTGAGTTTTGGAATTTACGACCGTGAAAGCCTGCGGTGCTCTTAGCATGCGAGGCTCTCCCACCTAAAACTGCGGGAGAACTTCAACGGAAAACGTGCAGGACCGGCTGATGGGCTGATGTGCGTACACAGCTTGTGGAAACTCGATGCCTGAAGATGAGAACTTCCAGCTTCTGCGCAGAAGAATTCGCAAACTCAATATCAAAGCAGGGAGTCCTACAATGCCCCCAAGAAAATGCCATCAATCCACCACAGCTGTATCCTTGAAAAGCCGCCATGCCACATCCTAACCCACACCCCAAAATTCTGACCCTACTGCTAGACCCTAAACTTTGGAGACTTTCGCTCCAAACCCTAGCCGCATTCCCCAATTTTTCTAACACCCAAACCCTCAACCCTTACGCCTCTCTTCGGAACCTTTATTGCCATAAGACAAGCGTGACAATATATACAACTTATATAGAATATGGAACTTGTACAAGATATACAACTTATAGTCCCAAACCGTTACCACCCTAACCTCCCCTAACACGGCCAATGATGCCATGGCGCTTCGTCAAACACTGAAGCACGGCCTCGGCCGACTGCTTGGGTATCGCAATCAGAGCTTGTCGGTTTTTTTTGAACATTTTTTTCCCTCCGCTTGTCGTAGCCTCAGGCCCTGACCCCTGTTGCCCTCAGACTATATCACCCTCTGTCGTCAGTCTGTCAGGTTTCGGGTCTAGGGTTAGTGGTTTAGAGCTTGGGGCTTAGGGGCTTTAGGGTTTGGGGCTTAGGGGCTGCAGGGTTTAGGGTTTAGAAGGGGGCTCTGTAGGGCTTTATCGTCATATGGGTTTAGGGGCGTGTCGGCCTTTGGCTACCCTTGGCTTGAGTGTATATCATTCTACATTCCTCACGGGCTTTGTAGGGTTTTATACTGGGCGTTGGAGCATTTATGGTGTTTGTAGTTTTAATCACAGGGGGCCTTTTCGTCTTAGTCTTTATAGTTGGCTCTATATCCCAAGTCTTGGCTTCGAAAGGTTTCGGGTGCTACAGTTCTGGATCTTCCGCCGGGCCTCGCCTTTTAGGGGTTGAGGGTGTTCAGGCTTTCGGGCTGTAAAGGGTTGGCTTGGACTTCGTGGGTTTCAGGGTTTGTTTGCATTCCTCTGCAGGGAAGATGAAAGAGCCGTAGGAACAATCTACTGAAACTCCTGTAACGAAGTGCTTGCCTTGAGCTTGAACGCATGTATCGAAACCCGGACCAGTTTCTGAATAAGAAGCTCCCAGACGGAAACGGCTGCAAAACAAACGCAAAAATCTACACACTCCTCGCCATGGCCTCTGAAGCCCTCCATCCCGAAGCCAGGAAACCCAGTGGCTTTTTAGCACTTAAAAAAGGGTGTTGACGAAACAGTAGTTGCAAGCAATGCTTATAGCACAACATCAAGGACTAGTGTCATCTGAAAAAGGGAAAATACAATAAACAATGTTCCCACACGGATGTGTTTACTAGCAGTACCACTTATTTGCAAATGAACAATATGAAACCACCAGAGCAACAAAAATATCGACTGAGCAACGCTCTAAACTCCCGCCGCTAGGAATCATTTCAACTGCTCATGATTTTTCAAAACCTATGCACCTGAAAAGCAACTGTAAAGCCGAGGCAGGAGCCATTTGCTGCTGCCTCTTCGGGCCTTCCTCGCCCTTGGGCTGGCTCTGTTGAAGTCTGGAAGGGTCGTAACTAAGCAGCTTAGGGTCTTAAGGACTTTGGACTTTTTTCGCCATTTTCTTTTGACCCATTTTGCTCGGACCCAGGCCCGACACCCTGCAAGCCAAAACCGATGTGGAGCCTCAGGGTCTCCAGAAGGAGCCTTACTTGGTAGGGAGAGGCCCCAGAAACCCTGCAAAACCGGTGGTATATTTGGAACTTCATACCAAAATATAAACCCTAGCAGAGGGTCGAGGTGGTGCCGAAAAGGCTGTTATGTCCCAGTCTGAAGATCCCTCTTAGAGACCGCCGGCAGTCCCAGGCGCACGGGGCCGCTTCGCCGCCGGCGTGTCGAGAGCGTCGGCGAAGGATCCCAGAAGATGCGGCTCCTTCTCCGGGTGCTGTACCCATAGGCTCCATAGTAGTTCCTTTTGGGATTACATTATAGGATCCTAAATACAAACCACAAAAGGGAACTACTATGGAGCCTATGGGTAGGGCTTTCATGATGAACTCTAAGGAAGTTTCCGGCCTCGATGTTAAGGAGCTTTGTCTGCTTCATAATGGAATGGCGGTTCAGAAGGGCCCGCCTTTTCGAGAACTTGTTTCGGGGTGGGAGGTTTGGGATTTGGGCTTGACGGCTTAGGGTTTCGCATTTCACTCACACACCCTCCGAAGCTTTTTCGAAGGCTTGCGTTTGCTTTTGCTGGATTTGAGTGGGCACAGTATACAGCATTGCCTAAGTTTGTACGCGACGCTCGAGGGGCAATGCTGAAGCCTCGGAGACACAATTCAATGTCCTCTTGCGTGTCAAATCTTGCGACGATGGTCTAGGGCCTCCGAAATACAATGTTCCATAAATCCGAAGTATCAAAGGTTTTGGCGGTTTTGGCTGAGACGTGGAACGAACACCACAGCAGACCTACCGAGCTCGGATGGAGTCGACCTTCGTTACGCCGGAAATCGTTCAGTCAACCGTCGGCTAGGAAAAGGCCTCAACGGCCCTCTCTGCCCACTCCACCAGTCGGGACCAAAGACCTGTGCTTTTGCGAAATCAGGAGGCCCCTACACCCTAACACTTAACACTTGGGGTCTCTTTCAAGTCTGGGCTCTAGACAGGGTTTGGGCTCTTCTAAGGTGGATCTCCGGAAAATCCTAAGCTAACACGAAACCGAAATCAGCCTCCTTTAGCAGCTGTGCAGCCGTGCCCTCGCCCATGCAGCTCTTGCTACATGTCTTCATTGTAGTTCTCTGGTTAAGGGCTAGGCGATTATTTCCCGGACCCTGCAATCATAAACAAGCAAACAAACACGGGAGCTAGAATGGAGACTGCAGGCAATATAGGGGCCTAGATAAGTACCAATACTACTTTGGGGGCTTCCTTACAATGATTATAGTATAATAATAATAATAATATACCCCAAAACTCCAAAACCTACCCCCAAAACTCCAAAACCCTATAGTTGCATCGCGCAGGGGCCGGGGGTGGGGGGTGCAAGGCTCCATCAGGCGAAGGGTTCTTGGGGTTTGGGGTTTGGGGCTTCGGGCTCAGGCTGGCCTCCGCCATCAGAGCTACGGCCTCCTCTTTAAACCGTCGGGTTGCAACAAAAAACTGGGGGGGCTCGCGGATTCGGGTTTAGGGTTTATAGGGTTTAGGGGAATGTTCAGGGTTTCGGGGCTCAGGGACTAAGGAGCTATAAGGCAAGAAGCCTTTTCGGGGGTTCCGGGGGCTCGAGGTCGCCTCAGGGCGGAGGGTTCAGTGGAGCCGGGGCCAAGGAACGTTCCTCTTTGACGTCGAACTCGTCCAGCTGGACCACCTTGCAGAGGCTTCAAGGAACTCAGAGTAGCCAGAAGCATAAACTCCTGAACGCACGGGAAAGCGCTGAGGCAAGCCGCTACATCTAACGGTAACATCCGATATCTAAAACCTGATCGCTGTGCATTAAATGTAGAATTCCGACCGTTTTGTTTTCAGACTTCGGGGACACCCTCAAAAGGCTAACCTGCGCAGTTTGAGTCTCAATTCGAAGGCAAGGGTCCCGCGCGATGATGGAGCCGTGGGCTGCAATGAAGGAAGGTGCCTTTGGATTGCTTGTAGGGTCTTATATAGGGCCTCAGAGTGCGAGGGTTTGGGTTTAGGGGACTCGGATGTGGGGTCTACATCTAGGTTCAAGAGGGTCTCGGTTGGTATCTAGGGTTCATGGCCAAGTGTTGAGGTTTAGGGTTCCGAATCTCTGCTACCAAGGCTTCGGATTCAAAGGGAAGCACCTGTAAGGACTTGCCGGTTGTAAACATTATAGGCTTTCTGAAGCTGCGAGACACTTTGCGACCATTCCACAAGTAGCCTGGGAGTCAGCTGCCCTGGCCAACCAGATACACCACTATATCCAAACCAACACTGCGTTGCACCAGAAACACGAAG